ATACATGAATTGTATTATTTAAGGTCTGAAATTTTCTTAGTCATTACACCGAACCTCTACTGTTTTGATATTTTTCAACTCTAAATCCAACTATCGAATATTAATTTCGAATATAAAGTTTATTATGTATTAAATATCGCAATACGTACTGCATTGATTTTAAATGTTATAATCTTATAAAAAAAGAGTTTAAATGTTAGATTAAAATTGTCAAAAACCTATTGAAATTTACAATTATACAACATGGAGTCCTAATAGTACCAAACTAAGTGTGTTTTCCTCAGAGTCTTAATCACGATGTCCCCACATAGATATATTATTGCAGAAACTGCGTAAAGGGATTGACTATCCAAATAATGCAATTGCTTCTATAATGTGGTTTAGTTTTAGCATTTGTTTCCTTCAGTTGGATGCAATTAGCAATGTTGGCGTTTATTTATTGACAAATGCAGACATAAGCAAATTAAATTTAGCTGTATAGTTAATGATTTCCTCGTGGTCTGGTCAATCATTTTGCCAAAAGTTAAAAGGGAAAAATAATAAAAATAAGGTGTTCGTGTAGTTAAATGCAAAAAAAAAAAAACCAAAAAAAAAAAAAAAAGAAAAAAAAGAAAGAAAAGGAGGAGGAGGGGGGAGCCGGGAGGATCCGTAGAAAAGTCGCCAGCCTTGACGTTTTCTTTGTCGAATACAGCTATCAATTTTTCTTTTTGTAAATTATTATATCAAAAACTTACATAATGAAAATATAAATGAGAAAATTTCATTTTAATACTCTTTACTATATCAAAATTTAAATTTAGTACTCTTTATATTTTTCAAAATTTTATGTCAGTACCTCGACTTTTTAGATTATCTTCTTTTTGGTATCTCGGAGTTATTTTTTAAAACATAAAAAGATAAAATTGTTCTTATTGTAAAAATTCATCTGTTGACTAGAATTTTGAAGAAAAAAAGATTCTAAAAAATATTTTAAAGAGATGAATTTAAAAAAAAAATGATTATGCTCTATAGGTATAACAATTTTTTTTTTAAATTCTGGTTAACAGATGAATTTTTATAATAAGAGTAATTTTGTCTTTTCGTATCCTTCAAAATGGCTCTGATGTATCAAATTTTTTTTTTAAAAGGTCGAGATACCGACATGAATTTATGTCTTTTCGTATCTTAAAAAATGGCTCTGATGTATCAAAAATTTTTTTTTTTTTAAAGGTCGAGATACCAACATGAAAATTTTAAAAATATAAAGTACCAAACTCAAATTTTAATATAACACAGAGTTCTAAAATAAAAATTTCTCAATATAAATTATTATTTAAAAATAACATAAGAAGAATCATAAAATTAACATAAGAAGAAACATAAAATTAACATAACTTAATCCGCGAATAATAGTTTAAAGAAAAAGTTGCAATTAGCAATAAAGTATCAAATTCTCCTGATTTCAGTCGGGAACTTCCCACGTAATAAAAAAAGAAGACATCAAATAGTCTAGTAGGAGGCAGACTGGCAGTTATTAGCCATCCAAATTTCAAACTCCGATCGGGCCGTCTCATGTCGTGTCTAGCACTTCCCATGTAAGCGCGCCAAGCAAGCAACGAGTATGGTTGACAACTCTAGTTTCTTAAAATTAATATGTTCATTTTACCGATTTGAGTTTAGAATTTGAATTTTATTATAGTAAAAAATTCTTAAAAATAATCACATTTAATATTTTTATTACAGTAAAAATCTATCACATAAAGTCATATTTCAATTTAAATTAAAACAACATACGTGGAAGACAGCCATGGAAGGGGAGTTGTTTCTGCGCAGAGGAGTTTTAAGATCACCACCACGCGTAAAAGGGGAGAATGCTATAGATGGATAGAAACGTACGCAACTTTTCCAATACCAATTACGTCCATGCACTACTTGAGCCCGTTTGAAGAGCTCGTGCCTTTACTTTTAAACAGCATAAGAGAAAAAACATACGTGAGATTTTTTAATTAGAGCTCGTTTAATTTATTAATTTGAGTTTTTAATTCGAGTTAAAATGTGATTTTATGTGAAAATTTTTTTATTATAGTAAAAAAATTAAATATGATTATTTGTGAGAGCTTTTTACTGTAACAAAACTCGAATCGGTGAAATGAACAGAGCCTTAATATTTAGAGTATATAAAAAAAAAATTTATTCTAAAAGAGTTTTTAAATATGTATGGTTTATTATAGAAAACAATATAATAAAAGGATTGGATGGAATTTGTAATTTGTAGTTTACAAATAAAAAAACTAAAAAAAGTAAATAAATTTTTTTTTATAAACTCTTTTTTCATAAACACTTAAAGAGGTCTCTGTGGTCCGTTCTACAAGAGTTTTGTTTGTTTTCTATCTTAAACAACTTTAAAAACAGTTTTCTTTATTCGGAAATAGTAAAAAAATAGGCCAATATGAAAAGCTTAAGAAAGTATATAGGCCAATTTTTAGTTATAAAAATTAATAAGTCATAACTTATCAAGTTATGGTTCATAACTAGATAAGTTATGGATAAATTTGTTAAATTATGGTTCATAACCAGACAAGTTATAGATAAAAATTGTGAATTATGGATAATAACTTGTCAAGTTATGATTTATAACCAGACAAATTATGGACAAAAACAGTAATTTAATCTATTTATTAATTTATATAAACTATTGACCTATTAATTTTAATTCATATCGAGTCTTCCTTCTTTCTCCTTTTTTATTAGACTAAATAAGGGAAAACAACTTTTCTTAACCCAATTCATAACAGGCTAATATGCGCGCTGAGTAAGTTGAGTAATCACCTCCACCAGCACCGGGCTCGGTAGGCCCAATAAGTGGTCTCCCCAAGTTCCCAACGTCGACGGCGTCTCTGTTGGGTCTTCCTTCTCCCTGTGGAGCACAAAAAAACTTAGGCCCCCCAAGGCCTTTAGAGTAACATGTCCGGCCCATTAAGGCGTTAATGCCAATTGCCAAGTTCCAACCAGCAAACCAGAATATGCGCCCAAATGAGACTTCCGGGAAAACGACAACAAAAACTCTCTCTGTGCAAATGAAACCTTTGCCAATTGTGAATTTGTCACTTTTTCTTCTCCTTTATAGCTAGTAGTGCACAGTTGCCAATTTCCAGTGGATTCTAAACTTTGATTTTTCATCATTTTTGCTTCTCTCATCTGCAAAGCACCCAAAAATGGCGGCGACTTTATCATCTCCCGTGTTTGCAATCTCAGCCTCGTGCTCTTCTTATTCATCATCTCTAAAATCAAGGAATTTCAATTTCAATTTCAATTTCGCTTCTTCAAGCTACTCACTTTCCCATTTCCGTCACAATTCCCGTTCTTCTCGTCCATTTCTTTCCAGGTACGTATCTCAGAATCTGCTTCTTTCTGCAATTCAATTGGAATGAAAGTGTTGTCGATCTTTGTTTTCGTTTTTCTTCTTCTTTTTGAGGTTCAAATGGCGGAAATTTTGCACGCATATATATATATATATATATTATGTACTCTGTGTATTAGGTTTACTGTACGACATGTAGGGTTCATCATATGTATTGCTGCAATTCATAAACATGTATTGAATGAATAATTTATCTATATAAAAGTTCAATTGTAATTATTGAAAAAGTAGAAATAATAATGCTTAACAAAATTGACACTCGAAAAAAAAAAAAAAAAAACCCCAAAAAAATCGATTATCTCCTAAAAAATTCCACAACCAACCTTGAGAATTTCCCTTTCTGGGCCTTGATGGCCAGGGACGGGCTCTACCAAAATTCTTCCGACGACCCCAATTCGTCGTTCGACGACGAAGACGACAATTCCGTTATCTCCAAGGAGGAGTCCGAGCTCGAGAAAGAGATCAAACGTCTCATCCTCACCGGGAACTCTGACCGCCTTAAGCCCAACTCCGGCCAAGCCGTCACCGTCGGCGACCACCACGCCTACGTTGGCTTTCACGAGGAGAACGGCTCCGATAATCGGGTGTGGGAATGGCACGGCCACAGCTTGCGGTTTGATAATGAAAATGGATATAGGCCTGAGTGTACCTATGGCAGTTGCATTGAGAGGCTTCCATCTAATAGGAGTGGAACTGTTGATGGAGAGGAGGCTGAAGAGGAGAAAGAGGGGGAAAAGGTGGTGGCAAATTTGGGGCTTAGGCATTTGATTGACGGTGGTAAGGCTGATCGGGGTATAAGTCGGGTTCTTCATCGCAACATTGATGCTGGTTCTTCTTCGGGTACTGCAAGGGCCATCCGGTGAGAAGAATGGGGGGGGGGGGGGGGGGGGGTGGGGGGAGGGGGGGTTTTTGCATTATTGTTTATTTTTCTAAAAAATTATGCTATTCTTCAATGATATTTTAATCACTTCTGTAGTTAGAATGAGCTTTGACTAGGATAAGATATTCATTCGATAGAATTTTATGTGGTGAACCCAAAATATAGGGTATACTTATGAAAAGACTTAGTATATGATGCTGGTTCTTCTTCGGGTACTGCAAGGGCCATCCAGTAAGAAGAATGTGGGGGGGATTTTCTTAGGTTTTTAGAAGAATGGGTTTAAGCATTATTGTTTATTTTTCTAAAAAATTATGCTATTCTTCAATGATATTTTAATCACTTCTGTAGTTAGAATGAGCTTTGACTAGGATAAGATATTCATTCGATAGAATTTTATGTGGTGAACCCAAAATATAGGGTATACTCATGAAAAGTTAGTATATATGTATACAAATTTCCCAAGGAAATGAAAGTTCTCTAGTAGTAGAAAATTTTGTTGGTGAACTACTTATTTTGACTATGATTCCCATGATCATGGATTTTTTTTCATTCGTTACTCGTTGTTACTTGGCAACCTGACATAGGAGATTGCTGGGAGTATTGGAAAACTCAATCTGGAGGATGAGTTGATAACTCTTCAAATTTGTCTATTAGTTTCCTTGATGCACGTTTCTCGTGTGCTGTAATAATTCTCAGTCTAGCATGTAAAAGGGTGGTACTTGAGAAGCACAGTTGTTTCAGCCTTTTTGTTTGTTAAGCTATGGCACTCAAGTTTCCATTTTAATTTTTTATTACCATATTGTTAATTTTTAATAGAATTTTGTTTGGTTAGGAAATTATATAAAGTCCATGCAACACTTCTACAAGATAATGAGGAGCAAGTCGAAGTGGAGGAGTCCTTTCCACCCAGTACTTCACTTCATGATCAAGTGAATGGAAGCAGGGAGGGGCCATCAGAGAGCTCCTCTTCAAGTACATTGGAGAAAATAGTTATCAAGTTTGAGCATTCGGTGAACATATTACTTACGGTAAATCTCTTTCCTCTCAGACTTTGAGATATCCTCTGTTTATTATGATTGACATGTGATTGTCTTTACCCATAATTTATTTCTATTTATCATTCCAGGATTCAGTGATAAAGATACTTGATACCTTGTATCGTGACAGAGATTATGCCAGATTCTTTGTGCTGGAAACTATTGCAAGAGTCCCCTACTTTGGTGAGTGCTGAAATTTACTCTTCATTTCATCAAGTCCCTTGCAATGAATCTTCCTGTGGAGAATTTTTATTTTCTACTAGAGAAATCAAGTCCTTATAATTCTCTCCAAAAAGTTATCTGTACCTTGGAGCAGTATATATTTATTGTCATGCTACTATTTTAAACAAGTGCAATGTTACTTGTGCATGTTCTGTTATACATGATAAGATGAGTAGTCTTGTTGACAGGCACTTATTTTTTGGAACTAAATAAAATAGAAAACCGAAGGACCTTAGCAGTATATATCTATTTGGGAGCTCTACTTATGACACATGATTTATGGCAGCTTTTATGTCCGTTCTACACATGTATGAGAGTTTTGGTTGGTGGAGAAGAGCAGATTATTTGAAAGTGCATTTTGCTGAGAGCTGGAATGAGATGCACCACTTGCTTATCATGGAGGTAAATATCGTTCTTTTATTCTAGCAATTATGCTTCAAGATTTAAGACACAATACGATCAGGTTTTATCACATCCTTTTCATAATTGTTGAAGTTTCTATCTATGAAGGTTTAATAACACATAAGACTTCCACACAACACCATCGTAATATCGCTTGTATAGTTTACAGTTTACCTAATGCTACGATTCCTTGAACTTTGAATTGCAGGAATTGGGAGGAAACTCGTGGTGGTTTGACCGCTTTCTTGCTCAACACATTGCAATCTTTTATTATATTATGACGGTCTTTATGTATTCAATCAGCCCAAGAATGGCATGTGAGTATGGGCAGTTGTTTACACAATTTCCTTGCTCTGATATGTATCTTGGATTTTGGTCTACCAGTTTGCTTGGCTATCATGAATGGTCATGTGGATTTCATGCCATATTAATGATTATGGTGAAAAATGTACACGTGCATTGTTAGATAAATTGTGATCCGATTTAAATTTTCTTCTGAAACTGAAACTATTTGTAGATGAGGAAAATAAGGTAGTTGGTCGGGATATTAGATGTGTATGTGCTTTCACTTTCTAAATCCCAGGTATAATGTAATTGGTTTTATCTCTATTACAGATCATTTCTCTGAATGTGTAGAGAGCCATGCATTTTCAACCTATGACAAATTTATCAAGGCTCGAGGAGGTATATTTGAGATTTCCGATTTCATTGTTAGTTGCGTTACTTTAGTTGTACCTTCACGTGTATCTTGTGTGGGCATAAAACAGTGGCAAAGGCCTATCATGGATCTTCTTTTTCTATTTCCCTTCTATCAAGTTAAATCAAACATATCTCACCATGCAAAGAGTTTGGAGGATGATCTTTCTTTTTAACAGACCGGTTATAAATGTGCTCCCTCTTGTCATAAAATGCAACTTCAATTATTCTGATATGGTCTGTTTCCGATTGTAGATGAGCTGAAAAAGTTGCCTGCACCTGAGATTGCTGTGAAATACTACACTGGAGATGATTTATACTTATTTGGTAAATTGTCTTTACCTATGATTCTGTCTTACTTTACCTGTGGTTTTCTGAAGGAACAATCTAAGTCTAAAACTCTCCTCCCTTTTGATCCAGACGAATTTCAAACTTCCAGACCTCCCAACTCTCGGAGGCCAAAAATAGGTAAACTTCTAAACGCTAGCATTAGTGGCAGTACATATTTCAACATTACTTGCATGAAGGAAATAGATGAAATCTCAATTTCTTGTGCCGGTTTTTGTCATAAATTAGTTGGCACCACCAAGACTGGGCCTCATGAACTGGCTTGATTTCTTTAGCATCAGTTCATGCTTTTCTGTTTTCCCGACTACCGAATACTGACAATAGTAATTCTAGTGCTCATATTGGTAGTCTTCATTTTTTGTTTCCTTTTCTAGAGAATCTGTACGATGTTTTTCTGAACGTCAGAGATGACGAAGCTGAACATTGCAAGACAATGAAGGCGTGTCAAACTCACGGCAACCTCCGGTCCCCTCATTCGTACCTAGAAGATGAACTTGATGACAAGGGTGCTTGCGCAGTTCCTCAAGCAGATTGTGAAGGAATTGTGGATTGTTTGAGAAAAACGGTCACAACTCCAAGTCCAACAACGCAAAAGTAAATATACATACATGAGAGAACCACACAATAGCTAGAACTCTTGACTATATATAGTGGAAGAATTGTACACATAGAAACAATGTAGATCAATAAAGGTCTTTAATTGTTCAATATTGATGGTTTAATGTAATTTTGTTGCATTAAGCCATGTTGAATAAATACGCATCTTATGCACCTAAAGCAAGCTGGGAAAGCTTTTTGCTATATTTGTTGCAGGTGGAAAATTTATTTACCTGTAAGATTAATATAATTTTATTCTGCCCAACTTTCACTTCTACGTGCCATTAATCTTCACTTTTTCTCTTGGAATTTTCTACGGCACTTCCGTTCATTAATGGTGATTAATCGGTTAAGTAACAGGAGCCCACTTTTTTTGTTCTTTTGAATTAATAGAAATACCTACTCTAGATATTATAATATTTTAGGTTTTAAGAATTTTGAATTTTTTTTTTGGGGGTTGGTTCTGTGTTTCTGAAGCATACACGCAGCCTCTCCCACTGCATAAAAAACTAGCATAAGCTGTTAAGCATAAAGAATCTTATAAATTTCATTAAAAAAATGACGTTTGGTTCACAAATTTAAAATCATGATTTAGAATTATTCTCAATTTACGTGTTTTTTAAAAAGAAAATACTTTAACGAGTCACGAACTATAATTCGAACCATGATACGAATCCTTATACCAAACATAGACTTAAAAATTAGGATTGGGCTAGTAATTTTTTAGTGGACGTTTAGTTCACGGATTCAGAACTATGATTCAAAATCATTCTTAATTTACGCGTGTCTTTTATAAAAGAAAATATTGTATCGAGCTACGAATCATGATTTGAACTATGACACGAATATTTATACCAAACACACAATTATTTTTAAACAGACAACAGCTAGTAAATTTTCAGAGTAAATGTTTTGTGGAATTTTTTTTTTTTTTTTTCCATTAAAAAAATGACGTTTGGTTCACAAATTTAAAATCATGATTTAAAATTATTTTCGATTTACGTGTATTTTTTTTTAGAAAAAATACTGTAACGAGCCACGAACTATAATTCGAATCATGAATCTTCATATTAAACACAGACTTAAAAATTAGGATTGGGCTAGTAATTTTTTAGTGGACGTTTAGTTCACGGATTCAGAACTATGATTCAGAATCATTCTTAATTTACGCGTGTCTTTTATAAAAGAAAATATTGTAACGAGCTACGAATCATGATTTGAACTATGACACGAATCTTTATACCAAACACACAATTATTTTTAAACAGACAACAGCTAGTAAATTTTCGGAGTAAATGTTTACTGGAATTTTTTTTTTTTTTTTTTCTGTTTGCATGCGATGATGCAACTAACGCTGT